GTAATTCTTCTCAGATTTCAGCTTTTGCAGGCAGCCGGAAGGAAGTCATTTCAAAGGCCAACTTCTGAAATTTTTTCAAACGGTGCTCACAAAACTGGGAGCAAATAAAGAGTTTTTAGGTTCTCATAGCTATTTGCATTAGCATATTTTTCTCCTATACTAACGGCCAGTTCCAATAGGTGGTTTACCCAGGGTTTGGCGTTACAACGCGCATAAAACAAATACACCAGAATATTTATTGGCAGAGTTAACACGATGATAAGTCGATAATTCTTGGATGTTGAAGACTTTTTAAAGGACATAACAAGTCGCTCATGCAAAAGTCAAAAAAATGATAAACTGGTGAAATCTGACACGGAATGGATCGGAATTTTTTGATGAAATGAATAGTTACAGTGGAAACTCATGAAATATGGGCAAGATCCCCGTATGGAAACAACAGAGGATTTTGTAAAAGTCTTCCCCAATTCCTCTTGCGAATCCTCTTGTTGAATCAGTGCTATATTGACGATTAATGCGGGCATTACTGGGCACATACAGTGAGTGACCGAGCTCAGGAAATGTTGGACAAAATTCTGAAAGGCATCTTCGATTAGGAAGGATTACCTTGGGAGGGTGTAATATTGATTATCCTGCGGTATAATCCTATAGTATTCCGGATTAGGCAGGGTATCGGCTATTGAATGCATTTCTTTTCAGTCTCCTGTAGAAACCATACTTGGTAAAATGCAGACTACTTAAGTAGCATGCATTTTTCACACTGATTTTCGGTAGTCATACAAATTCAAATAAATTTTATGAAAAATATGAAGAAAAATATTCTTTATTTCGCTCGTCTGATAGAAATTAACGTCCGCATTCTCTGTCGTCCCTGCTCGTCGCAGGTATATATGTATATATACGACATGATGCCGATAAAGGTAAGGGAGACCGGAATGGCCATTTCTGGGCAATTACCGTCATCAGCAAGTTATACCCAACCCCAAGTGTGGATCACTTGGGAGTCGAACCCAGGGTCTTTGGTCATGGAGTTTAACACTCTCCCATTGAGCCACGGGTCCGATGTCCTGTCGGTTGTGATTGGAAATAACGATTACGACAGATGGACGCTCAGCGATCAGGTTACGGAACGTGCTCGTTCCGTTGTACCTTTGGGCTCATATTAGAATCCTCGCAGGCAGTCGCGCAGCGACTAGTAGTATGCGTAAATGACATGATGTTGGCAAAGACAAGGGAGACCGGAATGGCCATTTCTTGGCTTATCGTCCGTTACTAGCTAGTCATGCACATTTTCAAGTGTGGGTCGTCTGGGAAACTTTGGTCATCGTGTGAGACAGTCCAAGATTGTCGTTGTGCGACTGCCTGCGAGGGTTATAGTTTGAGCCCAAGGCACAACGTGATGAGCACGTTCCGTAACCCCATCATTGAGCGTCTATCTACCATAATTAATGTTCGCGATTACAACCGACAGGGCAGCGGACCCATGACTCAATGGTAAAGCATCACACACAATGACCAATGATCCCGGGTTTGAATCTAGGGTGGTCCACACTTTGGGTTTAGTATAACTACATGATGGCGCTTAATAAGCCAGAAATGGCCGCTGCGGTCTCCACTGCTTTTGTCGATACCACCTTATTTCCATATATATATCCATGGACTAAAAGGCAGACATCCCAAGGAGTACAAGTTGTAATAGATTACGTTTTTTGAGAAAAACAGGAAACTTTATTGGCAGATTTTTGACGCTGGCCCCCGATGTCGTTGTCAGACGTTGGGTAAATGTGCTAATAGCAGCTAACATTTCAAACCTGCTTAGAAAATCAATACTTTTTAGTGTTTACGCTGATAAGCGACCCCGTGTGCGTCATTATGTATCGAATGGTTCTCCCATCTTCCATTTTCTCTTTAATGGTTTTGCACATGACATCTAACACAACGTACCGATCGATGCATGACTCATCTGAGTGCATGGCTTCGGGAAACTCTTGGCTTCTCTTGGCAGGATAGAAGCCGACGATGCGGGTTTTTTTCCAGGTAAATTTACAATGGCCTCTTTGGTCGCGCTGTGGGATCTACTCGTACCGTTGTGCATTGCGACTCGACCTAAAGCCCCGGAAGAAAGTCACAAGGAAGCTATGCATATACACAGAGTGAGGCTACTGGCAGAAGGTTTACAGACCGGGCGTTGGTCACGGTTGACTAACGACGGCTAGTAGACCAGAAATTGGCATTCCACTCTCTCTTGTCTACGCTAGTAGTATCATTCTCCAATACATACAATGAGTGGCCGATCTCATGAAATGTTGGCTGAAATTCTGAAATGCGTTTTCGATTGGGAAGGATTACTTGGGCGCGGTTGTAAAACTTATTAGCTTGCGGTATAATCTTATAGCACTTCGGACTCCGCAGGATGTCAACTTTTGAATATGCTCCTTTTCAATCTCCTGTAGAAGCCGTACTCGGTAAAAAATGACTACTTAAGTAGCATGCATTTGTCCATTGATTTTTACGGTCTTGCAAATTCAAATATATCTTATAGAAACCATAAACAAAAATATGATTTCTTTCAGTCATTTAGTAGAGAATCATGTCCTATTTATATTTTATGCTGAGGGAAGGAGTATAATAAGGTTTTAAGAAAATTTCTAATTCTGAGAATTTCTAAGACTGTGCAATGTCCATTCACATAGCATCGTACCTGGACGTATACCACAGCTCCTCATGAAATGTACAATATAGTCCGCATCCATTGCAAAATTTCATGGACCCTGCGTGATATCTTTTGAATGGCATAGAAAATATGAGATTTTCTTTGCGCGGAACGCAGGCACCTTGTAGACTGAAATCACTAAACGCTAATGTAACGAGTGATCAGGCTCCAAATTATTCGGCAATGCCGTAAAGGCTAAAAGTATGGCCAATAAACCACTACGCCGATATTTCCGGTTTTTTACTATAAGGTTCACGGTTATATTACAGCATCCCAATTCTATTTTCAAATGCAATAACAAAATCAAACTTTACTAAATGTTTCAGTGTTAAACTGACAATTTTCAAACTCCTTTGCATAGTGATCGTTGTATAGACCAGATTTTAGTAGCGAAAGATTCCTGTTTTTCATCAATATAAGACAGACAAAACGGTGTGCCCCAAAAAGAGTTCGTGCACGGTAGACACCACACTGAGTCTACTGGACAACGATAATAAAAGACTGAAATTGGGCTTTAAAATGCCAGTCACACAATAGGTTTATCCAACCGAACGCCGCCTCGTCTTCTTCTTTTTCCTTTCCACAACCACTACCACTCACACACCTTCATCATCATCATCATCCTCATCATCATCATCATCCTCCTCCTCCTCCTCCTCCTCATCATCATCATCATCATCATCATCATCATCATCCTCATCATCATCCTCATCCTCATCCTCATCCTCATCATCATCATCATCATCATCATCATCATCATCATCATCATCATCATCATCATCATCATCATCATCATCATCATCATCATCATCATCATCATCATCATCATCATCATCATCATCATCATCATCATCATCACCATCATCATCATCATCATCATCATCATCGTCATCATCATCATCATCATCCTCAACGTCATCAACATCATCACATCATCTTTATTCCCCTCTTCCTCGCCTTCTCCTCACATTGCGTGCTGCTAGATTTGTAGGCGGGCAGCTTAATCGATTACTACATCGAATTTTCTAGTATTCAAATGACATGCCTACACCAAATGCGTTGCGAGTTTGACAAGGGCTGCTCTGACGACGGGGCTTCAAGTTTTGACAAAAATTTATGAGGAAAACATAAAACCTCAGTAACCTGAGTGATTGGCGGCAGAAGGCCCGTTTAACGTTACAACTGTAGCGAGATATCCAATAGGTCGAGTGTACAGTATAAGAGGGTTAGTTGGAAATTCCAACTATACTCTCAGCTCTTCCATTTTTTTGATTTCTGCATAAACCGAGTAGATGGATGAAGCAGATTAGTTCAGCGTTCACATGTTTTTTTCTCTGGATCAGACAAACACAAATAACTGCTCTGCCCTGATGCAGACAAGTGAAAAGTAGGTGACACGAGGCCCTGTTCACATTAGTTTTAATTCTAAATTTGAAACGCCATGCGAGAAAGGCTCTTCAGCAGACGGTCAAATCTATCTCCCATTGACAGATTTTAGGTGCAGCGTTGGCCAGTCGACTAACTACCTTTCATGCGACTATTTCTGGTCTTTTGCGTGCGCAAAACGACTGCCGGGTTTCGAGGGTGAAGGGACCATGTCGTCGTCTTTTCTCAACCCACTCCACTGCCGTGAGAACACGAGAATCAGTGTGAAAGTTCGGCGTTGCTGCCTGTACATGCACACACACACACATGTGCTGGGAACTTCCCACTCCTACTGCTCGTCATTCTCCTTATCCCCTCACCACCCTCCCCTCCTCTACTTCATTATAATTATTACCCTCATCTACTGTCAGCCATGCAGTACGAGACAGATGTCCCCCCCCCCCGGTGCGATCTCCCACACCATTCGTGCGCTGACCCCCGGCTGATAACAAGGCCGGGCCATCGCAGAACACCCTGAGAGGGAGGGAGGGAGAGACAGTGAGTGCCGATGTGAAACTCACACGCATGAAACCGAGCCTCAACTTCTTGCTCACATACGTCTTCTGACCCCGCCTTCTCTCTCTCGCCCATTACTCAAGCGAATCTAGTGTTTGAGTGCGTGGGTGCATGCGGGCGTGAGAATTTCCAGCCAGCACCGCGCATAATGAGGACTTCAAGAGAGTTTATTTTTTGTGTGCGCGCGTGTGTGCGAGGGTTGTGTTTACCCACGTCTTCCAAACACACACACACAGAGCTAACTTCGACAGTGAGTGCATTTTAACACTCCAGGATTTCACCACGCGGTCGCCACGCTGCCAAAGGGAACACATTCGTTAGGAGCCCTAATGACATCAACCCTTTGTGGTTTTGCCAGAAACTTACATATTCAGAAAACTAATTGAGCACTTGATGCCGCTTACCCTGCGCTAGCTGCGTATGCCCGCATGCCTGTGAGGGTTATAATTTGAGCCCTAAGGCACAACGTGATTAGCACGTTCCGTAACCCGATCAATGAGCGCCCATCCACCATAATTGATGTTCGCGATCACAACCGACAGGACAACGGACCCGTGACTCAGTGGTAGAGCGCAAACCCAATGACCAATGATCCCGGGTTCGAATCTAGGGTGGTCCACATTTTGGGTTTAGTATAACTACCTGATGGCGCCTAATAAGCCAGAAATGGCCGCTGCGGTCTCCACTGCCTTTGTCGCTACCACCTTATTTCCATATATATCTATAGACTGAAAGGCAGGCATCCCAAGGAGTACAAGTTGAAATAAAATACGCTCTTTGAGAAAAACAGGAAACCTTGTTGGCAGACAGCAACTTAAGCCACAGCCAGGGTCATTGTCAGTAAATGCCAAGAAAGTACTAGGCAGGGGATTTAATTCGTGTCTTTTGGTTTTAAAAGTATCAACAGGTACTGCTTTTAGGTGACCAAACATGGCAACACATTCATCATAAAGTGTTTGAGCTAAGTTATATTATTCAATTTGTCGTATCTGGTTAAAGGGTCAAGATTCTTGTTTTTGTAGGAAAGGTGGGACAGTTAGTGTCAAAAAGAAGCGTTTGTGAGGAACATTGCTTTTTTGTTTTATCTTTGGAAAAACTATTATGAAAGGCATCGTTTGCTTGAGAAATTCGATGACGACGAAACTTCCTCTAAAAAAATCGTTCTGAAAACGGTTTGAATCCTTTAAACATTGCTCCATTTGACAGTCCTTCCCACTGAAATACCATTTTTTCAGTGCATTATAACTTCAAAGAAGAGGACAAAATGAATTAACTCTAACCTAGTATGCCCCGATGTGAAGGAGATGGAATGGTGAATATCAGTGTCTCCATATTCTGAGAAGCCCATGGCGTTATCGCCTCCTCTGTGCAATTTCGTTCCATCTTGTAAGGCACGACAGCTTCTTCATCGCATTAGTGACTGCCAGCACAAAGGGGATTTCATCTATCTCGCTGTTTGATTTCTATTTTTTGCCTTATTTTATGGATATTTTCTGGCAAAATTCGCTTCCATCCCATTGGACATCTTGTGAAATTATCAGGAATCGTTGGCAAAGGCCCAAGAACTTCACAGACGCTTCCGATGACGAGGTTGCTAAGTGTCCACTAACTGGCGAGGAATTAGCGCCAAAGAGAACTGACTTTCTGAATGATAATTCACATTCTTCAGGCAGCTGATGTCTTCCTCCTAATACATTTAGGGACCGATATCTCACATCCATTGGCGAAAGCGATAAAGAAGCCTCGCATTGAATATTATTAGGGACGTTGTCTGTCCCCCAAAATATTAGTACAAGTTAAGCAAACGCCAAAGCCGCCAGCCGTACTAACAGGAATCCTCACGAGTGCAGATTCTAAGTCAGTATTACAAACGAAGTTTCGGCGTTTAGGGGTCCATCGTCCGTCCTGTTAGATTCAGCTCACCCAGCAAGCCATCGTACAGATCCCGAGCAACTAAGTTTACAGCCATGCACACAAGAAAAGCACTTGGATCTTCGCTACTTGGCTCCGTAAACAGTGACAAGGCAAATATCACAGCGTTCGAATCTCGTCGTCTATAGGAATAAGTACAGTGCGTGACCTATCTCATGAAATGTTGACTGAAATTCTGAAATGCGTTTTTGATTAGGAAGGATTACTTGGTGGCGGTTGTGATACTGATTATCTTAAGGCATACTCTTATAACATTTTGGACTCGGCAGGATGTCGGCTTTTAAAAGCACTTCTTTTCAATCTCCTCTAGAAAGCGTACTCGGTAAAAAATGACTGTTAAGTAGCATGCATTTTTCCCATTAATTTTCGATGGTCTTTGAAATTCAAATATATTTTATAGAAACCACAAACAAAAATATGCTTTCTTTTAGTCACTCAATAGAGAATCACGTCTTCTTTATATTTTATACTTAAGGAAGAAGTATAATTAGGTTTTAAAAAAGTTTTCTTATTACCGAAAAAGTTGGAGCCTGATCGTTCGTTGCATTAGCGCTTAATGATTACACTCTACAAGGTGCATGCATTCCGCGTAAAGAAAATCCCATATTTTTCTATGTCATTAAATAGATATCATGCAGGGTCCATAAAATTTTGCAATTGATGCGGACCATGTTGTGCATTTCATGAGGGGCAGTGGTAAACGGCCAGGTACGATGCTATGTGAATGGACATATCGCGGTCTTAAAAAGTCTCATAATTAGAAACTTTTTTTAAAACCTAATTATACTCCTTTTTAAGTATAAAATATAACGAAGACATGATTCTCTATTGAGTGACTAAAAGAAAGCATATTTTTGTTTGTGGTTTCTATAAAATATATTTGAATTTCCAAGACCATCGAAAACCAATGGGAAAATGCATGCTCCTTAAGTAGTCACTTTTTACCGAGCATGCTTTCTAGAGGAAATTGAAAAGAAGTGCATTTAAAAGCCGACATCCTGCCAAGTTCAAAATATTATAAGAGTTTGCCTTAAGATAATCAGTATCACAACAGCGACCAAGTAATCCTTTCTAATCAAAAACGCATTTTAGAATTTCAGCCAACATTTCATGAGATAGGTCACGCACTGTATGTGACTTTGTCGTCTATGCTTGAAGACTCATTGTGAGGTTTCGGATGGACGTTAACACGTCCTAGGCCATTTTTGCTACACTTACAGTAGGTGAGCTAACTCACGAAATGTCAACCGAAGTTACAAAATAAGGTTGCGTTTCGAAAAGATTAATTAAGTGAGGTTGTAAAATTAATCGTCGTGCCGCATAATTCTATAATAATCCAGTTAGCTCAGGATGCCTGCTTTCAAAAGAATTTCTTTTCGGCTGCAAGCAAAAACTACACTCCTTAAAAAAGGACTACACACGTAGCATGCATTTGGCTGATCGATTTTCGATGCCCTTGAAAATCCAGTTATATTTCATGGAAAACATGCAGCGAAATATTCATTTTTGCTCATTTAGTAGAACTTTACGTCTTCCTTCAAATTTATACTCGAAGGAATGGTACAAATTGGTTTTAAAAAGTTTCTAATTGTGAGATTTTTTTAATACCGTGAAATGGCCGTTTATAAAACTTCATGTCTCTGCATTCACCAATGTGGCTTGTAAAGTCAACAATATTGCTCAAATCCACTTCTAACTTTTATGAACCCCATAAGGTCTCCTCTAAATATCGCACAGAAATGTACGGTTTTCTATACGCGGAAATATACGGCTTGTAGTTCGGAAACCCTGAATGCAAGCGTAACGGCAGGTCGAGTTCAGAATTATTCGGGAATTGGAAAAGTTGTTAAAAACCGAATTATACCCTTCCATCCAATACCAAATTGGAACGCGTCATTTTCTACCGAATGATTAAAAGAAAGAATATCTTTTGCATATTTTCCATAAAATATAAGTGGATTTTTAAGAGGATCGATAATGAATGAGAACATGCATGCTAAGAAAGCAGTCATTTTTTACAGAGTATAGTTGCTGTGTGCAGCCGAAAAAAATTCATTTGAAAGCCAGCATCCTGAGGTAACTGAATTATTATAAAATTATGCTGCACGACGATTATTTTACAACCCCACTTCATTAATCTTTTCGGAACGAAACCGCATTCCGTAATTTCGGTTGACGTTTCATCAGTTAGCCCACCTACTGTACTTAAGTCTGGCAGCACCGATCAAGAGATCAGTAAGGACATTGAATTCCTAGGAACATTTCAGATGCACAATGGTGTTTCATTATTATCCAAATTCCACCTCGGGTAGAATCGACCGTACTAACTTATATACCATGCAGGCTAACAGCCCTGTTATGCGTGTCTCGGCGATCTTGTGTCGTTTAATGTCGTAATCGAAAAGGATTCGGTTCATCAGTAAGCTAGCAAATAAATTCCAGTCTTCCTCGTTTACTTTCCGAGGTTATTAATGCGCGAACTCGGAAATTAAGCGAGACAACATGGAAACTGGAGTTTATATACCAGAAGGCGCATGGGGGATGTTGGGACTCACTGATGAGCCGAATCTCTCGAAGCTGCATCATGCAGTGACACAAGATCCGCAAAACACGTGTGCATGGGCTCTTAGACAGTGCCTATGCTGTCAGTATTGTAAACTACTTAATATTTGTATGCTTCTGACTGCCTTTTGGCAGCTTATGAATATTGAGAGGCTATTCCGCAGTAGAGGATATACGTGAGCTCGAATATATATATGCTTGGCTGAATGAAGGCAAGCAAGCCCGAAACAGTGCTGTATCAATCTACCCCCCCACCCCCAGACTCTGTTGTCTCCTCTCTGCTATTATAGCTTGGCCGACTTCGGCCTGGTGGGCAGTTGCCTGCTCGAGGCTCGAGACCCCTATCGACGATACGACGTTTGTTTACTTCGGGAAGCCAATGGATCGGTGTGCGTCCATTCCTGAGTGAATATATATATGCAGTATGTCATTAGCGACAAAGAAAAGGGAGACTGGAATGGGCATTTCTGGCTTATTAGCCGTCGTCAGCCAGTCATAACCAACCCCGAAGTGTGGAAAAACCGAAGCGCGAATTCGTGACCTGTTAATTAGAAGTCCACGCCTCTAAGCACCGGGCCACG